AGGTGGAGCAACAGCCTGTGCAAGGCAGGGAACATGCAGGGCAGTAACTGGCTCCTGAAGCTGAAGCAGGGGGAGGTTGGGGCAGGGGAGGCCTGGAGGGCAGGAGCTTCATCCTACAGGCAGACGGTGAAGCCACTGAAGGTTTTCAGGAGAGGAGGGGCCCTATCAGATGTGCAGTTCAGAAAGCTCCCAGGGCTGCTGTGTACAAGCTGAGAAGGAGGCTTAGACTTGGCAGAGGACTCAGATCAGGTGGGTTCCCCTGGGTCCTTCTTGGAAGTGAGGAGACCGGTAAAGAGGCTGCTCTGTGAGCTCTGTTGAGGAAAGCCAACGAGGCCTGGCCTAGGACTGGGAAGATATTTTTGCCGTGGACTTGGCAGGAAGATGGATGGCCTGCTGCTGGGCTTGGGCTTGGGCTTGGTTCCCGAGGCTCCGAGGTTTGCTTCAGAGGGCTAATGAAACACTTGGAAGAGCAGATAGTCGTAATAATAATAATTCGGGAGAGAACTGTGTGTCCAGTAGAGCCCAAGGCAGGCAAGGCGGTCGGAGTGGAGACTGAGTGACTCCTGGCCACTGCTCCCCAGGGCCTGAGAGAACCCTCCTGATCTGAGCCCTCTGCCAAGTGTAGGGCTGAGCCTGGGGCAGCCCTGGGGACCTGGAAAGCCACTTTTCTTAGTTGGAAGGAAGTTTGGATTCTATAACCTTCTTACCTTCCTGTTTGTGCAAACCTCTTAAGAAGAGGCCTGGCTGGATCACGAGGTCAGGAGATCGAGACCATCCTGGCTGACACAGTGAAACGCCATCTCTACTAAAAATACAAAAAATTAGCCAGGTGTGGTGGCGGGCACCTGTAGTCCCAGCTACTCAGGAGGCTGAGACAGGAGAATGGCATGAACGTGGGAGACAGAGCTTCCAGTGAGCCGAGATCGCGCCACTGCACTCCAGCCTGGGGGATAGAGCGAGACTCTGTCTCAAAAAAAAAAAAAAAAAAATTTAGTCTTTAGGGGGTCTGGCGCAGTGGCTCACTCCTATAATCCCAGCACATTGGGAGGCCAAGACAGGTGGATCACGAGGTCAGGAGTTCAAGACCAGACTGGCCAAGATGCTGAATCCCTGTCTCTACTAAAAATACAAAAAAAAAAATTAGCCAGGCGTGGTGGCACACACATGTAATCCCAGCTACTCGGGAGGCTGAGGCAGGAGAATCGCTTGAACCCAGAGGTTGCAGTGAGCCAAGACTGTGCCACTGCACTCTAGCCTGGGCGACAGAGCAAGACTCTGTCTCAAAAAAAAAAAAAAAAAAAAAAAAAATTTACTCTTTAGGAAGCTCTTTCTGGCTGCCCAGGCAGGCTTTCATGGGGAGGAAGTACAGAGTGTGCAGACTGGAGCAGAGAGACCAGTCAGGAGGCTGGTGCAAGAATCCAGAGAAAGACATAGAGGCACTGGAAGTGGTGGGGAGACGTGGACAGATGGGTCAGCCACTTAGGAGGTACAATTGCTAGGACTTGGTGACTGTTGGAGGGTAAGGAGGAGAGAGGTGTCCCAGATGACACCCCGGATTTCTGGCTTGGGCTATTTGGGGGTGGCAGCGGAGACAACTTAGGGGGGCAGTTTTGGGGGTCATGGTGGGGGTGCCCACAGAGTAGTGGTGTACTCTGAGTATGTGCCACCTTTCAGGCCTGTGTCTGGAACTTATGCCTCATCAGCGTTAGAGATTGAAGATGGAGAAACTGAGGCTCGAAGATTAAGTAGCTTGTCCAAGATCACAGAGCTAGCCAGAAACAGAACTGGGATTTAACTCAGGTTTGTCTAATTTTGGTTCCATGATGTTTTTTTGTTTTTGTTTTTTTTGAGACGGAGTCTTGCTCTGTCGCCCAGGCTGGAGTGCAGTGGCGCGATCTCAGCTCACTGCAAGCTCCGCCTCCTGGGTTTATGCCATTCTCCTGCCTCTGCCTCCCAAGTAGCTGGGACCACAGGTGCCCGCCAACACACCCGGCTAATTTTTTGTATTTTTAGTAGAGACAGGGTTTCACCGTGTTAACCAGGATGGTCTCGATCTCCTGACCTTGTGATCCGCCCGCCTCAGCCTCCCAAAGTGCTGGGATTACAGGCGTGAGCCACCGCGCCCGGCCGGTTCCATGATGTTTAATGGAAACCATGGGAGACGAGGCAGGAAGGAATTGGTTGAGAGGGAGGGAGGAATTTGAAACGTGCAAAGAAGGTGACCTCCTCATCCCCCTCACCCCAACCTAGCAGCCACAGTAGCAAGGCTGCAACTCAGTCCTGCAGAGAGCAGGCAAGTTAACCAATCTCCTCTGCCTGGGGCTGGCAGGAACAGCGTCATCTGTCAACTTCGAGGTGTGCATCTGGGGAAATAAACACCAATTAATGGCCCTGAGGTTTCCTATTCATGAACACCAGTTCTTCAGCCCTGACGTAGGCTCATTTGTGAGCCACTGGCTGAATACAAGATGGCATGAGGCCAGAGGGAGAGGCTGAGCAGGAGGTAAAATTGCTTCCAGCTCAAGAATATCAGACTCTGATTTATTGAGGCATCTGTTTGGTGCCAAGTTAAGTGGCCCAGGCTCTGTGTAGGGGGTGAGGTTGAAGCAGAAAGGGTGGTGAGGGGCAGGGTGCCAGGATTAGGCTGGAATATCCGGGGGTGCTCTGAGGCTCCCCAAATTTCCCTGGCCCTGGTTGGCTGTGGTGCAGGGGAGGGCACTGGCCTGGGCATCTGATGAGCCTCAAGAGCAACTCTGAGAGGCGGCTGATGCAGGGGCTAAGGCAGAGACTCTGGAGCCACGCTGTTGGCTTTGAATTCAGACTACTGCGCTTGGCAGCCCTGACCTCTCCATGCCTCAGTGATTTGCTCAGCTGAGCTCTGTCTGAGCCAGGTGTCATTCCAGGCACTGCGGATCCTCCCAGAGGGAAACCTCCCCAGTTGCTCACTGTCTGCCACCAGCTTCATGAAATGTCTCACTGGTTTTCTCAGGCAGATCCTTGTCTCTTTTGACGCCCTCACAACCCAGTGGAGGAGGCGTGACTCAACTGCCTCTGTCCCTCAGGGTGGCTTCGCTGCCAAGTGCATCTGTGGATACGGGCCATCCTCCTGGGCTTCCAAAGCCAGCTGCTGCCCTCTGGGCACAGGGACAAGGAAACACTGTGGGCCTGGAGCCCTGGTCTGGGGCATTGGGCAGGGCTCTTGCACTTCTCTGAGCCTGTTTCCCCATGTGGAAAGTGTGCTGATTGAATCTTCCTGTGGGCACTGAGGGCTCAGTGTTCACTTGAGAGCCAGCATGGGGGTTCGGCTGTCATTTCCCTTCGGCCCCACAGTTGGAGGGAAGCAGGGACTTTGTCGTGATTACCCTAGGTTTCATTCTAGCTTCCTGCCTCAACGTGGGCTCAGCATCTGAAGTAGTCTGGGGAGCAGGTGGCCCTGGTGGGGGTAGGAGCTTTTTCCCAGACTGAAGGCACACCCAGAGCCAGAAACCTTGGTGCCTGCTCTGGGCTAAGGATGCATCTGGCCCCAGGGTGCAGGTAACTGCCCACTTTACCTGGTTTCTGCATGCCACGGCCAATCTTCAGACCTCGAGACTTCCCAGCCTGTCCCACCTCCCTCTCTGGCCAGGTTCGAACCCTCCCGGATCCAGTACTTTTTCCAGGCCATCTCCTGGTTATCCTCCTTTCCTGAGGCCTGGCTCATGCTGCTCCCCTTACCCACTCACCAAGACCTCAAGGACCACTCCACACCCAGCTCAACCCAATCCCCCTTTATAGTCCCTTCTCTTTCTTCAGGTGACCAGGTGCATATCTTGGTGCTCAAGACGTTCCCTGTCCCTGGGAATGCCCTGCTGGTCAGAGACCAAGGCATTCACTCGGTAAGGCCCATCGGTTTCTACCAACTGTGTCCCAGGAGCACTGGGGACATTGGACTTTGGAAACCTGGCAAAGAGGATGCTAGACCTGGGCTGGGCCCCACTCACCAGCTGCGTGGCCTCAAGCAAGTTACTTTCTTTCTCTCAGCCTCAATTTCCTGCATCTCTAAGATAGGAAAGGAGAGCAATAAATAACACGGGCTACCTAACACTTTCTTCCAAACACTAAATCAAAGGGCTTGAATAAAGTACCTGCTAGCACATAGTAGGGGCTCAAGAGATGTTGCCCTCTGTTTTAGGAAACTAGTTGGGAGAAGGTTCTAAATTTCGGGAATGGTAGAAACAGCATGAACTTTGGGGGTAGATCCAGGTTCCAGCTCCAGCCGCTTGGCTGGGTGACCCTGTTTCCTCACCTACAAAAGGCAGCAACAAAGTCACTTTTTTTTTTTTTTTGAGATAGTCTGGCTCTGTCACCCAGGCTGGAGTACAGTGGCCTGATCTCAGTTCACTGCAACCTCCGCCTCCCAGGTTTAAGCGATTTTCCTGTCTCAGCTTCCCAAGTAGCTGGGATAACATGCACCTGCCATCATAGCCAGCTAATTTTTGTATTTTTAGTAGAGACAGGGTTTCACCATATTGGCCAGGCTGGTCTCAAACTCCTGGACTCAAGTGATCCACCTGCCTTGGCCTCCCAAAGTGCTGGGATTACTGAGCTATTGCGCCTGGCTGAGGCCACATATCTTACAGGATGGTTGTGACGATCTGTATTTCTCTCCAAGCGCTTCCCACTGTTTGCCAAGTGGGCAAGGGCAGGGAGTTTGTCCTTTCGTTCCCTGCTGTCCTCCCACCTAGAACACTGCTTAGCACATAGCAAGCACTATGTCAATAAGTCAATACTTCTTTCTTTACTTGTATTTATTTATTTATGTCTCACTCTTTTGCCCAGGCTGGAGTGAAGCGGCTCTATCTCGGCTCACTGCAACCTCCGCCTCCTGGATTCAAGCAATTCTCCGGCCTCAGCTTCCCGAGTAGCTGGGATTACAGGCACACACCACCACGTCTGGCTAATTTTTGTATTTTTGGTAGAGATGGGGTTTCGCCATGTTGGCCAGGCTGGTGTCGAACTCCTGACCTCAGGTGATTCACCCGCATTGGCCGCCCAAAGTGTTAGGATTACAGGCATGAGCCACCACGCCCGGCCCAATATTTCTAACCTGCGGCTCAATATTTCTAACGTGAAAGAAACGCGAAGTATAAGGCAAAGGATCTTAACCCACAAGGTGAAATCAACAAATGTGAGTTTCTTCTTCCTGCCATCTCCTAAGCCTTCCTCCCCACCTCCCTGACTCTTCAGTAATTCCCAGAGCAGCCAGCAACCAGCAGAACTCATCCCTGCAAGGACAACCTCAGCTGAGCTCTCTATCCTGCCCTGGCCCATGGCCAGCTCAGGGACTACTGAGCTCTCTATCCTGCCCAGTCCGGCCAGCTCAGGGACCACTTGGGTGTTTTCTGACTCACTCCAGTGTCTGGGGCCGACTTTATCTGGCTGGCTCTTCAGACACAATTGGGGTTACAGGAAATATCCTGGCTGGAAATGGGGTGAGGCAGATTAGATTGGCTGTCTACATGGCTGTCTGGCAAGTGTTTGATGACTGACCTATAAGCCACCTCGGTCAAGCCTTTGGTTCACTGTCTACGTGGCCAGGAAGGGAGTCAACAATATACTCTTCACCTCCGCCAGGGCCAGTTCTCCTGGATCCATGGCTCCAGGGATGGAGGATGCTGCAGGAGACACAAGCCTTGCTTCCCAGCTGAGGACTGTGGGTCATCTCAGGGCCACTTCACAGTCCCAGCATGCCCCAGCTCTCAGCTCTGCAAATACCAAGCAGCCTGCCTAGGCTTCCCAGGTGATCAGCCCGGGGTGAGAGAGGAGAGGCCCAGCAAGCAGGACCCATGAGAAAGCCCCCTTCCTGGAGTTTGAGGCCCACTCCCTCCTGCCCCTGCCTCTCTGTCCTGGACTCCTCCCTGCTCTGCCCCACTCCTGGGACCATGGCCATAGGGAGCTGTGTTTGGGTACAACGGCAGCCCTGGGCCCAGAGAGTGGGCAGGCTCACCTGGAGGGGATCAGAGTAACATGGCAGGAAGTGAGTGAAAAGCCACCCCAGAACCGCACCTCTGCCACCCATGTGACTGGGGTGCAGTTCTCCCTTACCTCCCTCAGGCAGCGGCCTGAGTTCCACGGCCGCTCCCTACAGCCCCCTCTGCCACCTCTCTTCAGGCTTGGGGCCATGACACTTTCCCTTCCCCAGCCCTGCCAACCTGGTGGGGCACTGGGCTTCCCTCTGACAGGGTCCTGGGCACAGGCCTACCCTCCATCTCATATCCACAGACAGACCCTTTTTTCCTCCAGGGCCTGGTTCTGTAAGTTCACTGCAGATCTGAGCCATACCTGAGCAGATCTGGGATTGGGAACACACTCTCCTCCTGTGAAAGGCAGCCAAGGATTCCACCTTGGTGAAGGGGAGAGTAGGGCAGAGCCAGGCGGGACACAGACTGATCACCTGGAGAAAGTCGCCATCAGCAGCCTTGGCGCAGGGGCAGGCCCAGCAGTGCCTTCTCCTGGATTTCCCCTGAGCAGGCCTCTGCCATGAGGGCACGCTTCCTTCTGCCTGTCCATGGCCCACAGCGAAGGACTGGTGCTCCTCCGGCGGGCTGCGGGGGGATGGCTGACAGGACTGAAAACCTCAAGGTGAGTTTTGGGGCTTCATTACAATACTAGTTTCTGGTTGCTGCTGCAATAAATTACCACACACTTAGTGACTTAAAACAACACAAATTTATTCCCTTAAGAGTTCTAAAATCAGCCAGAATTCTAAAATCAGCCTCACTGAGCCAGTCCAGGTGGGAGCAGGGCTGGGGCCTTGCAGGGCTCTGTGGGAGAATGTGTTTCCTGGCTCTGAGGTGGCCTGGACTCCGCGGCTTGAGCTGCCCTCAACTCCAGTTTCCTGCTCCATCACTACACCTCCCACCTGCTCTCCCGTCACCTGCTCTGCTCTTATATGGACCCAGATGAGGACATCAAGCCTGCCTGGACAAGCCGGGACAATCTTCCCGACCAAAGATCCTTAACTTCATTACATCTGCAAAGCCCCTTTGGCCATATAAGGTAATTTTGACAGGTTCCTGGGATTAGGACATAGGTATCTTGGGGGGCCACTACTGGCCTACCACAACCAGACTGCAAAACCATTACACCCTCCGGTATAATAGTTTTGGTGTTTCAATGACTGGGAGGAAAAGGGTTGGGATTTTTTGCTTTGGGATCCCTCTTAACCTTGTATTTTTAAGGTCTAGGACTCACCATCCCTCCCCTTCCAACCAGAGAAACTCACTGCAGTATCTCCTTGAAAGTCTGGTGACGTGTCTAAGTGCTGGTGAGAGGCACAGAACCAACTAAGGGCCCCACGCAGTCCCCATGGCCACAGGGTACCCGCCTAAGCCCACACCTGCTGACTGCAACAAGCCTGTGGCCAGGATGGAACGCAGAGAAGGGTTTGAGGCCTGGAAGGCGCCATGAAGGCCATGGGGCAAGTGAGGTCTGCTGGGACAGTGCAGGTCTGCGGAGCTGAAGTGCAGCTGCAGAGGCTGGTCTGGTGCTGCAGGAACTGGAAGAAGCTGGGAGCTGTGATCCCTGTCCACAGAGATGCTGGAGACTGTGGCTGGGAGTGGCTCTGAGGCCGTGGAAAGAGCATCTCTGCCCCATGGCATCTGTGGGTGAGGGCAAGGTCCTCACCAGACATGTGCAGCTCCAAGTCCCAGATGCTGCTGGGCTTTTTCTTGGTACTGAGACAGCAGTGGGGCAGGGTGGGGCAGTGACAGGAAGGCAGGGAGCCTCTCTTGCTACCTCTTCTCCATGCTCTGCATCTGCAGACTGAGGGAGGTGAAGCTGGCCAGGAGGTCAGTCACCTCATCCACCTGCAGGACGGGACAGAGGCTCTGTTATGGGACATGGGGTGTGCCAGGCTCCCGGGTCTCTTCCACAATCCCACAGGCACAGAACACAGGCACGGTCTCTCCTCCCAGGGTGTGTGGTGGCTTCTGACTATGCAGCAGCTGACCAAGGGTTAATCTTTGACACCAGGTGGCCTAGGGCTGTCCTAGAGGGCAGTGCCATGAACACATACTAGCCACTGGCAACTTCAAAGGAAGTGAACGAAGGCTTTGAAGCCTGCAACCCCACAATCACAGTCTCTTTCCCCCACTTTTTTTTTTGGAGACAGGGCCTTGTTCTGTTTTTGTTGTTGTTGTTGCTTGTTTGTTTTTATAATTTTTGCCTTTTTCCACATGTTCTGATAGGGCCTTGCTTTGTCACTCAGGCTGGAGTTCAGTGGCAATCACAGCTCACTGCAGCCTTGAACTCCTGGCCTCAAGTGATCCTCCCACTTCAGCCTCCCACAGTGTTGGGATTATAGGTGTTAGCCTCTGCAGCTGGTCCCAGCTCACAGCCTCTTTCTCATATGAGTGTCTGGTGGCATCGGAGCAGGGTGGACTGGCCCTGAGGTTCCTGCCAGGCCCTGGGTCTGGGCCTGCGGCTGCAGCTCACCTGCTCTTTGGTACTGGTCATCTGCAGACGGGTGCAGAGGTCGTCCAGGCGTTCTCGCTGCTCATGTTGCCCTAGACGCTCCAGATACTCCCTCAGCATATGGATGATCTGGAACAAGAGGGTGAGCTGAGCTGCCTGGGTTCCCAGGGAGGCAGAGAGGCTGATGCTGCTTCCAGAAAGCACAGTGGAGCAGGCGCCAACTGGGGTCAGTGTGAACACCCAGGAGCCCTGGGGCCAGAGGCAGGTGTGTCTGTGGTTAGGGCAGCATCTGTCCAGTGCTGCTGTGGTGCCGTGGGCTCCACACAGGAGGGGTACTCACCTGCTTCACCTCCAGCCGCACAGCCTCCAGGCACTGGGCATGGCCCTCCTGCAGGATGTTCAGCTTCGACTTGGCCAGGTGCAGGGGTGTGCGGCCAGCTCGGTCCAGGGCATCCACACGGGCCCCTGCAGGTACCAGCTAAGGTGAGCATTCTGGAGGTGAGTGGGGGAGAGAGAGGACAGAGAGGGGAAGAAACCACATACCTCCTCGTAGCAGTGTGGTGATGACAGGGACATGGTTGGTACAGGCCGCTGAGGAAGAAGAACAGAGACTTAAGAATCCAGGACTGGCTGGGCGCAGTGGCTCAAGCCTGTAATCCCAGCACTTTGGGAGGCCAAGACGGGCGGATCACGAGGTCAGGAGATTGAGACCATCCTGGCTAACACGCTGAAACCCCATGTCTACTAAAAAATACAAAAAACTAGCCGGGCGAGGTGGCTGGCGCCTGTAGTCCCAGCTACTCGGGAGGCTGAGGCAGGAGAATTGCATGAACCTGGGAGGCGGAGCTTGCAGTGAGCTGAGATCCGGCCACTGCACTCCAGCCTGGGCGACAGAGCAAGACTCCGTCTCAAAAAAAAAAAAAAAAAAAAGAATCCAGGACCACCAGAGCCTGGCTCTGTGTGGCCACTGGAGGGAGCAGGGCTGTGTCTCCCAGATGCCTGTGCCAAGTTATGCCTACTGAGAAGGTATCACCAAGGCAACAGCTGGGTAGGACTCGGCAGCCAAGTTCAACTCCCTCCCTGTACAGCAGAGGAAACTGAGGCCTGGAGATGGGATCTGCCTCACTGTGAGTCACAGTGCTGAGTGCTGCTGGGCTAGCCTAGGTTGCTAAATTGGCTCTGTCGAGGGCACAGCCAACTGCTAAATGACCCACGGGACACAGGCTGCTGGGGAGGGCAGCTCCGGGAGTGCAGGCCTAGGATCTTCCCTGACACTCACAGATACTGCTGGGAGCATGCAGGGCCCCAGGCTCTTCATCTAAAGAGCCTTTCTTTGCTGCAAATGAGTGGTCTTAGTGACTTCTGACATGCTTACCCAGGTGCAGTGGCGTGTTCCCCAGCCCATCTCGCTGGTTAGGATCAGCACCGTGGTCTAGGAGCAGCTGCACTGGAGACAGGCAAACCCAAGAGGAGCTGTCAGAGGCTTCCATTGCCTGGACCCTGAACCCCTAACCTCGCTAGAGAGACTGGCTCAGAGTAGGGGACACGGAATGCAAGCATGGATGGCTATGTTACTTCATTCATTCACTCACTCACTCACTTACCAGAGTTCATGTGCAAGGCCTTGAGAACCAGGAACTGAGGATTTGGGGAGGGCCTCTTGGCCTATGCAGGTGTAGGAATGAGACTTGAAGGGTTAAGTAAAGTTCTTCCAATAGCAGCTGCTACTGGTGAAGGCTCTCCAGGGCATTTTCTGCTTCTCCCACAGCCAAGCACCATGGGGGGAATTAAGTCAATAAACGATGCTGAGCTCCATGGATAACCTCTCCCTCCTGGCACTCTTGGGGTCACCTCAGGGGTGGCTGTATTACCATCAGGGTCTGCCAATACCCAGAGGGATGCATAGGCAGGTAGCTTGGCTCCCAGACATCATACAGGGAGGTCAGGCTGAGCCTCACACCGTATACACAAACTAATTCAAAAGGGACCATAGACCTAAGTGTGAAAGCTAAAACAGTCAGGCTTCTGGAAGAACATGAACATCTTGGGCAGGCAAAGATTTCTTAAATAGGTCACAAAAATACTAACCATAAGAAAGAAAAGGCCAGGCATGGGAGCTCAGGCTTGTAATCCCAGCACTTTGGAATGCTGAGGCAGGTGGATCATTTGAGCTCAGAAGTTCAAGACCAGCCTGGGATACATGGAGAAACCCTTTCTCTATACTAAAAATACAAAAATTAGCTGGGCATAGTGGTGACAGACCTGTAGTGCCAGCTACTTGGAAGGTTGAGGTGGGAGGGCGGCTTGAGCCCAGGAGGCGGAGGTTGCAGTCAGCCAAGATGTGCCATGCACTCCAGCCTAGGCAACAGAGCCAGACCCTGTCTCAAAAAAAAAAAAAAGAAAAGAAATATTCATAAATTGGATTCATTAAAATTAAGAACATGGCCGGGCATGGTGGCTCATGCCTGTAATCCCAGAACTTCGGGAGGCCAAGGCAGCCGGGTCATCTGAGGTCAGGAGTTCGAGACCAGCCTGGCCAACATGGGGAAATCCCGTCTCTACTAAAAATAAAAAATTAGCCGAGTATGGTAGCGTGCACCTGTAATCCCAGCTACTCAGGAGGCTGAGGTGGGAAAATAGCTTGAACCTGGGAAGCAGAGCTTGCAGTGAGCCGAGATTGCACCACTGCCCTCTAGCCTGGGCAACAGAGTGAGACTCTGTCTCAAATAAATAAATAAATAAATAAAAGTAGGGGCCGGGCACAGTGGCTCACGCCTGTAATCGCAGCACTTTGGGAGGCCAAGGTGGGCGGATCACAAGGTCAGGAGATCAAGATCATCCTGGCTAACACGCTGAAACCCCGTCTCTACTAAACAAAATACAAAAAATTAGCCGGGTGTGGTGGCAGGCGCCTGTAGTCCCAGCTACTCGGGAGGCTGAGGCAGAAGAATGGCGTGAACCCGGGAGGCAGAGCTTGCAGTGAGCCAAGATAGCACCACTGCATTCCAGCCTGGGCAACAGAGAGAGACTCCATCTCCAGAAAAAAAAAAAAAAAAAAAAATTAGCTGGGCATGGTGGTGTGCACCTGTAATCCCAGCTACTTGGGAGGCTGAGGCTGGAGG